AAATGTATGGCTATAAAAGAAACCCATACGAACCCCAGGTACACATGGCCAGACATAATTCATAGCACAATACAATGGTATCTCAGTTCATGAACTTAATTTGTTCTCAAACAATTTGGTTCACCAATGGAAGTGTTTGGCAAAATTTTGTTTTTGTTTGCAAACTCTGCCTTGGCGAAAAACACAGCCATGACCATCTTTTTGACACAAACACAAACTTGGCCATCTTTTCCAAATTGTAGGCAAATTAGGTTTGTGAACCATGGTTGTACTGCATGGCAAAACAGCCATGAGTACAAGAGAAAGAGAGTTCTCACATGTGCAAGAGAAAAATCTGAAGTCACATTCATGGGAAACCTCATTAGACTAACAGGGTATTTTTCAGCAAAATCTTTAGAGGACAGGGTGGAATAGAACAATATATCCAAATAACAGTCAACTAATATTACTATATTGAGAAAATCCTACTTCTGATGTGAGGGAGGAATTGACTTCAAGACATGCAAACACATCATCCAGATAAAAAATTCAACAGAAAAATAACAGAGTGAAATTATAGTTCAGATCAAACAGACTTTTTAGAGCATTCTATCTAGCAACTGGAATATGTGTGTTTTTTTCTTCAAAAAAACATAGAGCATTCTCTAGGCTACAGGATCTATTTCACTACATAACAAGTCTCAACAATTAAAAAACTGGAAATCACACCAAGTATCTTTTCTAACAGTGATATAATACTAGAAAATAACAGAAAATGTACAATTTCCTGGAGACTTATGCTGCTAAATTCATAATGGTTCATTGAATGAATTAAAAGAGAAATTCAAAAATTTTTGAAATAAAAGAAAGTGGAAGCATAACATATGGAAACTTATGGAATACAGCAAACACCATTTTTTCTTCTTCATAGAATATTTTCCATTCTGACAGAAGTTATTTTTAAAATTTTGTGTTTATAATATCTTTGTGATTTAGGAGACCCCAGTGGAAAAGGGAGAGCTGCAATTTAAACTACTAAGTTAAACTAGCATTAAGTTTCTACCCTCCTGACACTTCTGAAATTAGAGCTTAGTGTTGGACCTGGCATATATGTCCACCAGTAGAAGAATGGGTAAAGAAAATATGGTGTTTACATACAAGAGAGTTATACTCTGCCATAAAATAAGAATAAACTTGAGGTTTTTGTAGGAATTTCGATGCGCCTTGAGATCTTAATGTTAAGTGAAATAAATCAGGTACACATGACTTCTCTACATGAGAAACCTAAAATAAGAATAAAGAACAACATAAGCAGGAGCTGGTGGCATACGCCTATAATCCCAGCATTCAGGAGGCTAAGGCAGGAGGATCACTGTGAGTTCAAGACCCCTTGGGCTACAAAGTAAGTTCAAGGCCAGCCTGAACTGTGTAGTGAAACCTTGTCTCAAAAAGTCAAAAAAAAGAGAGTAAAAGAAGATAATAAGAGGTAGAAATGTAGAACTTTCTCAGATATAGTGAGTATCAAGAGATGGGTGGAGGGCAGTGAGGGGGAAAGAGGAGAAGAGGATGAGAAATGAATGAAGATGAGTTATGAACACAGGGCAATGGCACACAAGGAACATAAACATCACTAGTACAAGCATGTAAGTACTCATAAAAAGTAAGAACTTGGAAACCACGTTCCTACACATGAACATTACTGAACACAAGCTTCCATTCTATACCCCCAAATAAAACAAATACAGTAGAAGCAAAAAGAAAAAAATGGCATGTCCAAAGGCTTTAGAAAATGGAATTGTTGAATTAAAACCTATTTCACGTACAAAATGATGAACCAAAATTTATTGAACACCAGTTAAATGTTTTTTGAGACAGTTTGAACATTTTTTGAGAGGAACAAAGGCTAAAATTAATTAGCAAAGCATACAACTTGTAAAGCTAGCAAAAAAGAACCACTGAGTAAAGCAAATAGCTGACTGTGATGACACATGCTTGTAATCCCAGCGCTTGGGAGGCTGAGGCAGGAGGATCTCCAAGAGTTTGAGACTGGCCTGGAATACAACGTGAGACTCTGTCTCAAGAAGAAAAAAATAAAGCAATTAAAGTATGTCAAAGAGTAAAATAAAGGTAGTAGTGTAAATACATACAATTAAAACAAAAATATATTAGAAAATCATCAGAAGTGAAAGCTGTTTCTTTGAAAATATTCATAACTAACTGAATTGTATCTGTGCACAGATAAAACAAATGAAAAGAGAGCCTCAAAACAGTCATTGCTGAAGTAAAAAAGCAAAGGCTGAGCAGAGATACGGGAAATCATTTTACAGAAAATAATGTGTGATTATTGTGTTAAATTTTGAAAATTTGGATAAAAGAGACAAATTGTTTAAAAATATAACTCACCAACTGAATTGAGAAGATATGCAAAAATTGAGAGCATCAGAGAAATTAAAATTTTCTGTTGGTTGCATATGCTGACGTAGCCATACACAGATTTCAAACACAAACACAGATGGACATAATCAAGGTCAAGCAAACATTTAGAAAACATCTAACACTAATATTTATAAAAATGTTCCAGGGAATTAAAAAAGGGGAAATGTTTCTCAATTTCATTGAATATGCCTAATAAAAATAACCACCAAAGTAGTCAAAAATCATTGTTAGTTTTATATTGAAAAATTATCTGGATAACTATTAACACAACACATTTCTTTCTGATGTGTTGTGCTAAGATTTATCCAGATAATCCAAATTGAAGATATCAAAATGTAATACAACCATTGTTAATTTCCTACCACCTTGTCTGAGATTCTGTATTGCTTGTATTGTTTTTATTGTTATTTTCTAAATGTATGTGTGTTTGTTAAGATGTTTTCATTATTGTATCTTTTGTTTTGTTTTTGTTTTTTTTTTTGTTTTGTTTTTTTCTGGTACTGGGAATCGAACTCACGACCTCGCGCTTGCCAGGCAGGCGCTGTGCTGCTGAGCTAAATCCCCAGCCCCCATTATTTTATCTTTAAAATAAAAAAAAATAGAACAACAACCTAAATACTATGAACAAGTTGCTTTTATACCAGAAACTCAAGAATGTCACTTTCATTTGTCAATGCAAGTCTTTACATTTAATTTTATAAAGAAAGTCATATGCGGAATATTCTTAAACTGCAAAAATTGATTCTCTGTTGAAGAAAACAGTCTTAGGAAGTAAGTAGCAAGACCATCAGGAAAACGAATGGCAAATATCCTACTTAATGGTAACTTTGTAAATCCTTACAAAACATAAGACAAAAAAATATCAAAAATTATTCTACACAAACATAAATTAGCTTCTTGAAAGAAATCCCCTAAGTCTCCACCTTGCAAAAGCTGAGAATACATGACACATGAACAGAAATGCATTTAGAATATATAAATAACTTAAAAATCTTTATGAGAAGGAAAACAAAGTGAGAAAAAATATGAGCATAATTATGGAAATAAGAAAAATCAGTGCATATATAAATGCTATCTCAATAATAATCAAGAAATCTAAATAAAATTACCTGGCTATATCATTGTGTGCCAACATAGTGATGAACATTAAAATCTCAGGCAATATAGACTGTGGACAGAAAGCAAGAAATAAATTAATGATTAATTCCAGAACTGCTGAAGATTCCCAAACTGCTGATTACACTGTTAATCTCTGTTTTACTATTCACAGAGGCAGTCAATGCACATAGACAGTGATAATTCATAAACTGAAAACCTTATTGAGAAGTCTGGAAGCTGAAGCCTAATTCACATTTTGAGTAATTTTGTTGAATGGCAAGACCTCTCCAGCCCACGAGCAGTCCGGGAGGACTTTCGCGTGAGTTAGTACTGTTAGAAAATGCACGACTGGCCGCATCTTATTTCCAATTATAGGTCATAAACCATAATGGATGTCTTTAGTCACTGTATTTATAAATGTGCAGAGAGGCAGCAAATAATGGCTGTGTTCAATAAACACCGTAAATAACCACGCTCGAGTGGAGCACAGAATCCAAATGCAATTTAGATGTGCTGTAGGGAATTTGTAAAGCATTTTCTTAAAGCACAACTGGCTAAATTCCCACTTCTGCCCTTTACATGAATCGTGTGGAGGGATGCAGGAACACTCAGTAGAGCCCTTTTTAGTGTAATTGATCTTTCCTTCCTCACATCTTCTCTGAGTGTGCTAAATGATAACCCTTGGTGGGGAACTGAACCTACACACAGTTTGAGGTGACATATTGCCAAGTATTTCCTCCTGAAATGTCACAGTCCTACTACTTCTCTGGCCATGTGTCCTCACAGGCTGTTGTCAGGTTGTTGAGTGAATTAAGTGAGCTAAAATGTAATGAACTTAGAGGAGAGTGGCAGAATATACAATGAATGCTACTTGTTATTAGCACTATTGCTTGCTTTTGTTTTGTTTGAGTTTTGAGAAAGAGTTTTGCTGTGGAGTTCAGGCTGGTCTGGATTCATTACATAGCCCAGACTGGCCTTTAACTTGGGATGATCCTCCTGCCTCAGCCTCCCGAGTGCTGGGATTATAGGTGTGTCCCACTACACTGAGCCCTATTAGCAATATTGTGACTGAGAGATTATCCTCAATATATTCCAGCAGAGGTATTCAGTTTAATAATCTTAGTTTCTCTAACTCATCCTGGTTACCTGCAAGTTTCTTAGTTCTACTTTTACTAGGCAAAATTATTACTTGGCTACTTTTATGGTTTTCAGCTAGTCCTCAATAGTTACCCAAAGAAGAGTTCTACAGGTGGTTGACATGGTCCCTGACACGATGGGTTCACATTCTCTTGGATGAAGGGTGAACACAAAAAAACACATACATACTCCAGAGTACGTCAGGTAAGGAATACTACTATGAAGAAAAGGAAGCAGAATAATGAGTAGATGAAGCTACTTCAACACAGGCAGCCAAGGAAAGAGTCTTGAGGTGTGATGTTTGAGCTGAGAATTAAATAATAGAAGCAGGTTGTGTCTGTCAAGTACATTCCAGCAGAGGGACCGTGAGAGCAAAGCCTTCACGACTGATGAGGATTTGAGCCGGCAGATGCCTACAGTGGTGAGCAAAGGCAGTGTGATGGGGTAAGAGCAAAGGTAAGAAGGACCCGGCTTTCAGGAGTGACGGTACAGTTAAAACCTCCCACTAAGACCCAGGTACGGTAGAACCTGTGTGTTTCAGAGAGTGGACTGCAAATTATATACCATATTAAAAGGAAGGTTCTGTCATAATGAGGTTGAAGAAATAATGGGAAAGAGCCTGTCTGTGGGAGCCAGCTCCAGGATCCAAATCCGTGTTGATCCTGTGGCCTTGTGGTGCCCACGGGTGAGGACTGTCCTCACACCTGTAGAGCGCATGGAGCACACCTCTGTTCCTATAACATTGCTGGAAGAGGGGAGCCGTTCCAGACATGTCCTACTGGGTCAGTGCGTATTTGCTTGAAATGGCCCCAGAAAACTGAACTAAGAGACTATGGGGCACGTGGGACCCATTCTTATTCCAGAAGGGGGCCCACCCCCTGTTTAAAGCTGGACTTGCTTCTCTTCTCTCTCCCTCTCTTCAGAAGACAAGCTCTCCATTCCACCTGCGTTTGGGAAAAGGGCTAGGCACAGGATATGAGTTGTCACTCAGAAGTCACTTTATACTGGGTTCATGTTACCAGGGAATAGGTCACAGAAGGATTGCACCCTGCATGCTATTATTAGAGTGGGTGACATTGTAGCTTCAATTTTATACTTAATATATTTGATGTACAACTTCATTATAATATAGTCTGATACTCTAATTTTATATGTGCCTGTACGCTTTGAGAAATAAGAACTCCCTAGAGGCAGTTCTTATTTAAGGAAGTTCTTACTTAAGAGGCCAGTCTTATTCAAATTTATCCCCTTATAACAAAGGGGAAAAAGAAAATAATACTTATAGTCACCTACGCAAGTAGTAGTAATACATGTCTCACTTAATACTCAAATGTCTGTAGACTAACAGACGAAAGGTCTGTTGTCTAATAGATAAAAGTATAAGGAAGATGAATTATTTCTACTTTTATTATTTCTGTTTTAAAGATAAGCAAAATGAGAATGAAAAACCTAAAGCCCTATAGCCAGTGAAAGACAAAGGTATAAATTCCACCCCAATTGTTTGAAAGTAGTAACTACATAGGTAGAAAAATAGTAGCACCAGAGATAAATCAATGAGGCCCATATACATGGCACTACCTCACACTCCTGAGTGCATCACCTGTCCGGGAGCAGGTGCTCAGTAGATGAGTGATGGGATATACGTGAAAAGTGACTTTGGTCACTTTAAGTGAGAAAATGTCATTAATGGCACTTGTATGCCTCATCAAAACAAGTGTTCAAGGTGACTGGACACTGAATTGATTCTTAAGCCATAAAGCCTCAGTCAGCTGTGGCTGGAGACCCCGGGCAACCCTGCTGAATCGGCACAGAAGAGCTTCTTGTCCACCCCAATCAGTCTCCGCCTGCTGTTCAATTAGGTTTGAGTCTGCAGTTCTCCACCTTCCAGCACCATTTTACTCAGTGAATTGTAATGAACACTGTAGGAAAGATTAACATCTGTGAAAAAATATTTAAGGATTGAAAAGGAAAGCTAAATGCGAGCAGTTCCCTCCAATGAGTGTATTGTGTTTTTTCTAAAAATAACATGGAGCTGCTCTTATATACAGAAGTCATTGCTGGAGGGAGCATGGTATGAACGTGGAGCATTGGTGATGTAATATTTGAAAAAAAAATTGCCAAATTATCGTGTCATCATGGCTCTATTTTTTTTTTTTTTTTTTTTGCTGTTCTTTTTCAGCTTTACGAACTGACAGATGATAGGTGGGTAGGTAGGTAGGTAGGTAGATAGATAAGAAGAAGTAAGAAAAATTTTCTGATACTAGAATTTATATATTAGAGCATCTGTTTTATTAGCTACCTTATGAATATAAGGCTTTAAAAACTTAGTAATCATCAAGTTGCTTTCATGCAAATGATTGTCAGAACAATGTCATGTAGCTAATATTGAAATATAGTAGAAGAGGAAAACAAGATTTTTTGATTCAACTAAACACACTGCATCATTTTGCAGATTAAAAATAATAATGCGTTTATAGAAAGCACTTGTGTTGAATTAATACAATCTTAATTATCATTGTCGACTTAAGTTGTTAATTAAAATATCTGCTTTAAGATTTTTAATTTTAACTTTTGCGTATCTTCGGTATATAAAATTGTTCATGATGGAGTTGCATGCTAAAAATAACATGACGCCAGTTGTGTGCAAAAGTTTACGAATTCTGTTGCCCTTGTCCACTTGAAGGCAGGTGTCACAGCCTCAGATGCTTATGCTGTCTGCTGAGTACACTGAGTCAGATAGGGACTGCTCTTCTGGGAGAGTCCAGGCACCGTGTAAAGTGGCAGCTACTCTGCCCCTCCTTGCCAGTTCTTGTCATGCGGCTGCTTGGTTGAGCACATTAATCCCTTTTATAAAATGAGATTCTAAGATTCTAGAATGTGTGTGCAAAATCTTCAGGTTCCTAATGTTGGCCTCCACTTCGGTTTTTAAACTTAACTGTCTGTGTGCTCCACAAAGCCCCTGGTAAATGGGAGCTGCTTCTTGCCAGAGGGAAGCCTGCTGGAGTCTGACTATTGATATCAACTCCCCAGGATAGACCTGACACAGGAACTGGAGCACTTTCTTTTTCCTGCTGTGGGAGTTGGGAAACGATTCTTTTTACAGGGCTCAGCCCTGTCCTACTTTGTTGAGGACTTATTTTCAACCTATCTGTTCCTTTCCCAAAATTGCTACAAAACAGCTGGAATTAGGTGGGTGGGTGTGGTCCTCAAGGTATGGTGATGGCATGGGTGGCAGAATTCCTCGCAGAGACGTTTCTGTTGCTTGAAGTAGCAGAGGCCTTGAGGAAACCATGTGCCCATCTCTGAAAGATAATCTTGCTTTCCTTTGACACTCTCACGTTGATGCAAGTCATTTAGTAAATCATTACTCTTTCCTTTTTTTACTTTTAATGATACTTTAGACATTTGCATCACTTTTACCTATGGACTCGGGATGACCTCTGGTACAAATAATCTGTGGATTTCTGTGCCTGTGGCTTCACTACTTCTTTCTGAAAGTATTTTTGGCACAAACTAAGGGGAAACAGTACAGGGAAACAACTTCTCAAAATTATTCAAACAGAAAAGGCACAGGTGTACAGAAAGGTCATTTGGTAAACAGGGACCTTATTGAAAGATTACCAAAAAGAAGGAAATCCCACTGTGACATGTAACCAATTTGGAAGAACTTCTCCTCTCCTGCCACTGACCTTTTTTCCATTCCCAAATTCCTAAATAAGTAGCTTGTGCGGCTAGGGATTTAGCTCAGCGGCACAGCGCCTGCCTGGCAAGTGCAAGGTCGTGAGTTCAATTCTCGGTACCAGAAAACAAACAAACAAACAAAAACAAACAAACAAATAAAAAAGTAGCTTGCTTGGTGACAAAGGGAAAAGAGTTCAGTGGTTATTCCCTGAGGAGCAATTTTCACTCAGTCCTAACTTATATAATGTTCCAAAGAAGAATCTGAAACCTAAAGTCACTGCGGGGATGAGAGGGTCAAACCAGTGTGAGTACACATTTGATTTTGTGTCTACGCTATGCCTGTTTTATGGGGTCCCTCCTATGGTCAGTCCTCCAAAGGGAACAGTGTTCACATCTCTTAGGTACTCCATGATGAACTTTAATTTTGAAGCCAGAGCACTGTCTTGAGATTGCAAAGAGCAAATTGGCACCTGAAATTTGGCTCACTGCAGGTCAGGCAGGTGAGTAGCTTCCTGCACTGCTGATGCTGGAAGTTTTCCCAGCAATGCTGTAGCTTTTCATTGTTGTTGGCACTGCTTTCCCCTGTAGTCGTATTTGTCTCTTTATCTCCTCTCTCAACACACTGTGAGGCCCTGCATGGAAATGGCCATGTGTAGTTACTCATGATTTCACAGAAAGGGAAAGAAAAGAGGTTACCTTGCATAATAATGGAGCAGAGTGTTCCCCAACACAAAGACCTGGCCTTGCATCTCAGTTCTACCGTGCACTGCCTTTTGGCTTGGGAAAGTGAAACATACCCTAAATTTTCTAATTTATGAAGTGGAGAAAGTAAGTTGCACTTGTCAGCATTGCCATGGTGACTGAAACATAATGCCAGAGTACTCCATTGAAAAAATTGCTCCTTCTTTTCCGTCTTCATAACTTCAGCATCCACCAAATCTCTGGGCACATTAGGTGATGAATGCCTCTATCTACAAAAGAAAAAAAAAGTATATATATATATATATACAATGTTTTTAAAAATTCTAACAACTTGAAACTGCTGCCCATTAAACTGCTGTTGAAATGGTCACAGTGTATGTTATTATGTGTTTGTCCCACCATGTAAGAAGATCACTTTTGTCATTGGTCTTTAATTTTTCCACATGCAAAAGGGTGATGTTTGGCCTCAGAGTGTGAAAATATGAGATTAAATTCAATAGATATGTGTTTTATGGGTCTAAATGGTATTTTATAAATGACTGAATGAGGGGCTGGGGATTTAGCTCAGCGGCAAAGTGCCTGCCTGGCAAGCGCAAGGTCGTGAGTTCAATTCCTGGTACCGGAAGAAAAACAAAAACAAACAAACAAACAAAATAAATGAATGAATGGGTGAATACATACCTAAGTAAATAGCAAGACTTACACAACCTTCAACTTGGTAGAAAAATGATCTTTTCCAGGATTCTAGCACAGAATGGTGACATTTCCTAGAGGTACCTTACAGCTGCTCCCTTGGGCAGAACATGTACTCACTCTAGTTTACCAACACCTCCGCTATGTCATCGATGTGGATCCTGAAAACCTCCGCTGGGATCCTGAAATCTTCAGCCTGTATGAACTTGAATATGGTGCATGTACGAATTGCAGTCCTTTATTCCTCTATGATATAATGATCTTAAAGCACATGGAGCTTAGACATGTTCAGTCATTGCAAGTGTTACAATGAGTCACCCACACAACTGAAAGCAGCTATTGTTTCTCCACAGGTGCTGACAAGGGCTCCGCAAACGGCCATACGCAATGACATTTAATTCCTTTCTGATTATGCCCCACCTCTATTATCCTCCCAGAAGTCCGTCTTCTCTATAGATTGCTAGGGTGTTTCCCAAGGTGTGTGGTTAAGTTTATTCAACAAGGAATAGTGCAGGGCATTTGACTTTGTTAGTTATGTGGACCTAGCTCCAACAGTTCCAAGTCCTAGATGCTCATGTGGACTCCTGAGACCAGCTCTGGATCTGGGTCCCTTCGGATCAGTAGCATCAATTCTGCAAAGATACTGTCCACCCAGGTACCCTATGGATGGTATGGTGCTGCAACCAGACAGACACCCCTTGTGAATCTTAAACTCTGGTTCTTTTGTTAAGAGTACACTTAAGTTTTCTGCTCTGAATTTCTTTTCTAACTCACAGAAGAGGGGAAAAAAAAACAACATATTTTTATTCTTCTTCCCTTTCAAAAACACAAGTTGCAAAACTTTGTGAATTTGACAAATAAAGGCTTTTATTTTCTCCAAAATAACGTCTTCATTATGATGGTGCTTATCTACCATTGCACAACATAAAAGGATTTCCCCCCCAACTGGGTGAAATTCCATAGTGACAGAAATATAGAAAGTCTTTCAAAAGCACTGACTTAAATTCTTCATGTTTCACCAATGGCTAAACGTCTCTGTTGTATTTGGAGGTAAACTGTCTTATTTATTATGGCTCCATAAATACTTCCACTGTGAATAATGCAAACTAGTGGAATACTTAATGTAAAAAAATGTGGGTCTGTCCTTATAGGGACATCTTACAAGAATAAATTAAAAACCAAGCTGTGTACCTCCTTTTAAGTAAAAAAATAAAGCATCGTTCAGAATGTGTTTCACTTGTGCCTTCAGCAAGGATTCCAAAATCTATAAAGAATCTTAGAATTAAATGTAATGACAGAAGCAAAAATGTAAAACATAGCTACTATTATTACTTGGTCATCATCAGGCTTGCCATTTGCTGCTTGTTATAATGTGAGTTATTGAGAAGAAAAGTAGTCAGTGAAGTTTTGGAATTAAAAAAAAAAACCTCTCTCTGGCCTGGTTTCCTTCCTTGTGAAATGCAAATAAGAGCATCCTATTGTTTGAATTCATTTTAGCTGAAAATAATGGAAAACTCAAGTTACTGCATCAAATGATGGCATCCTTAGTTAGCTGTATGGACATGAAGTCTGGCAATATGCAGCTCCATAGCTGGCTCAGAAGCTGAATGAAATCAAAGGGCAAGTTCCTGTGTCTATAATTTCATTGGATTCTATCCCATGATCATGGAGACTTGACCTTCCAGCCCTCAAGCCCTTCATTTGGCCGGCTAAGCAGAATGAAGATGTTAGGAATTCTGCCATTTCACCATGGAAGTCAACCCTACCACCACCATTATTCTGACAGGGCTTGTCCTTGCCTCTCCTTCACCAGAATTTGGCCACATGCTCATCTCTAGATAAATCACCGGGGAAAAGGGTGAGGACACCTGTGGTTCCTCAGAGTAGAATCCTAAGGGCAACTATGACAAATGTGACAGTATAGAGCTCCGGGCTGACACCCGGAATTTCTGAGTAGGTATGCTCGGGAAACCTTGACGATTTTCATTTACATTATGCTCCCTGCTAGTGTTAACTTTGTTAGTCATTTTAGCAGTTATTTAAAAATACTGATTTAGGGCTGGGGATTTAGCTCAGCAGCAAAGCGCCTGCCTGGCAAGCGCAAGGTCATGAGTTCGGTTCCCAGTACCGGAGAAAAACCAAAAAAAATAAAAAAATAAAATAAAATAAAAATACTGATTTAGACCAAGAGTACTTCATTCCCTGTGGCTGGGAGATGGGCCTCCTTTTTTTTCTGATATTAAGAGATTACCACTCTGTATAGAAACAGGTCAATAATCTTTAACCAGAAAGAAATAAAGGATCGTGTACTTGCAGGATGTAGAAAAGAAGGAAAGAAAACCGGAACTAGGTAGCTGAATGCATCAGGCCTGGAGGAGAAGAATGGGTAGACTGCTTCAATGCTACCCATTACAGTCAACTGGAATTTAGGCTCCAAGCCTTCCCTGAACTCTACATCCTTCCTAATGCACTACCCTTTATTACTTTCTGGAGAGTTCCAGTATTGTCATACCACACACGTTCTTCCCAGGCAATTGTTCTCCAGGTGGGAAAAAGGATTCCTGGTGCTAGTTACTTTATGTTCGCTGAATTCCCAAAGTGATGTCTTCTATAGCTAGTTGAAAGACCAACAACAATCCCTTTTTAATGTACATTCTTGGCAATAATTGATATACATAACAAAAACTTTGACCTACTCGTAATAGGAAAATAGAGATGTGAAAACTGCCTTGTAGACTGAGGAGCATCGCAAAGAGAAAGTTACTGGTTTCTTGAGCTATTATATACATCTCACAATCTGCCATAGTGAGAGCTTAACAAAGGATGCAGTAGAAATAAGTTATTACCTACCCAGAGTACATTCCTTATCCTTGTGATGATATTTTGGCATTTCTTAGGGATCCACACCATCTCAAATCTTAGTCTAATATATTTCAAGTAGAGATGATTTTATTTCTTGCTCTAGGGTTGGGTCAATACCACTAACATTATCAGAGAAGTCAGTTCAGGTCTCCATAAATCAAAATGAATAGAACTGAAATCCTAATATTGTGTCAATAATAACGGCTTAGAATTTATCTTTCCAGTAGGTGTAGAACAATGTTAATCTAGGTCAAGTGGAAACCACTACAGAGAGAAGTTTGTAGTAGAGTTAATATGGTGATAAGCATAGTAGATACTGAGGAAGTCTAAAACCTGACAATATCAACTGATTACAAAGATCTCACAGAATCTAGAGTCCCTAGACTTTTCAATGTATTTTTATCAAATATATTTATTTGGGGGGGGGCAGGAGAATTAAGCTAGCTTGAAGAATCATTTGGAACTGAAAGACAAATGTCAAAAGGTGTTTCAGCATCTACTTGATATTCAAATCCTCAAGTTAATTATTCTCCACTCTTGAAGCAAGGCACGTTAGTGTACTCTACCAAGTATTATTCAACAAATGATGAGATTTTTTACATCTAGGTTGTGGAAGCATCCACTATTTCCCTCTCTGTCTTAACCAGCAGTGGCTATTACCACTAATTTGTCCTGGTGGTCTTGCCTTAGCTTTAGGTAATCATCAAATTTATTTTCTATTAGCAATGTACTGAGTACCCGAATGGTAGTCTCTGGGGAACTTTAGAGTTCTCTGGGTCTCGTCTCCTGTCCTCTGCCCACAAACCTGCCTTCTTCTGTGTTATTAGCACATGGCATGTCCTCAGATCAGGTAGCACTTCCTGAGATCCTCCTCCTCGCCTGGGGGCTGGGCCTCTGTCAAGGCAGGCGGCCAAGGCAACATAGCACTCCGTCCATGTATCATGGTATCCAGGACTCATTCCCCTTCATTGCTTAATTTCCAGTTGTCTTGAGAACCATTTTCTTTCCATACGTATTGTTGGTTTGTTATTTTTTCCACATGAGAGGGTAAATTCACTTCCTGTTGTTCCATCTTGATTGACAGTAGAAATGTATTCATTACTTTTCTGAGTATGTTTCTCATTAAGCCTTTAACATGTTGTCAGTAGCTTCTTTTAAGTGCTACCTAATAAACCCAACAACTGGGTGAGAGTGATGTTGGTTTCTATCATCTTTTTTCTTATGAACCATATTTTCCGTATCTTATTGTATATAAATTATGGATGTGCTATTTTCTTCTGAAGTTTATCTTTATTATAATAGTCAGATAACTTGGCTTCGTTAAACTCTAGATTCTGCCTCTACTGTGGCACCATTAGCTGAAATTGCCACTCAGTTCTTTCACCTGGAATCCTGTTGATAACAATGAGTTAAGTCAGCTGTACAGAAGAGACGCTCCCTTTCCCTTCCTAAATGGGCAGGAGTCTGTATGGTGGAATAGTTATAGATATGAATTTGGAAGTCAAATGGTCCTTGGTTTAAAGCCTTCCTCTAGCACTATCCAAGTGATTTACCATGGGCATATTATTAAAAAATCAATGCTTCCATTTTCTGTAAAAGTTGGGTGATTCACACTGTCTCCAAAACATTCTGAAGATCAAATAAAGTAGCAAATATAAAGCACTTGTCAGAAGCTCTGACACATAGCAAATTATTAATAAGTGGAAATTCAAAACTTCTTTCTATTTGATGGAGAGAGAAATTATAGTAAGAAACAGAATACTCTAAAATAGAGAAGAGGTGTCAGATTTAAATAGGTTGGTAGAGCCAGTAAACACAATAGGAATTGAAAGAAAGGACAGAGAACTTGTTGGTGAAATTGGAAATTGCATTTGGGTTTTTTAAAAAAATATTTCTCAGGATTTGAAGCATGAGATGGAATTGGTTGTGGGATAAATGGATACTTAAGGTAACCACTCCATGGAGTTAAAATGCTTTGTGCTGAGGAGTTTTGATAAATAAAGGCACAGCAGCCATGAAAGTGAGATAAGTAATTACACTTTGAATGCCTGATAGTGGAGTTTTTTAAAAAGGATCATTTTTAATTACTACAGTATGAGGTTATAATATAAAATCACAGAATCATCAGACATTCTGGCCTGGAATGAATATGACCTAGTTCAAAGCTTTTAAAATGTTCACTGGTAACATTTTAATTGGTATGCCGTGTAGAAATGTAAAACTTCTTGTGGTCATCCAACATTTGACCAACTGGAGTTTTGCTTGTATGACTGTATGGAAATCTAGTCTTCTACAGAGTCATGGGTTTAAAAATGCTAAATTAGTTTTTTGCATATTGTATAAATAAAAGACGTATTGAATCTGATTACATCTCTGAGTGAATAGTTTTGAGAAGATTAGCCGGAAATGGTGTGGGTGAGAGAAGGCAGGTGCTGCTGCGCTCATTCAGATCTGAGACAATAAGAAACGGAGCCAAAATGGTAGCAGCACAAACAGACAAGGATCATGAGGCAGAATTCTAAGCCATGTCAGAAGAAGAACTGCCGGTGCAGCTTTACTCTTTACATTTACATCTTTGTTTTCTTGTCCCCTTTCACTGGAACCCAAGCATGAAGACAGAGCAGAAGCTGGGCATTAGCGTTCATGAGTATTCTGTGAAGGAAAGGGAAGAGAAGGAAAAGGGAGAGGGAAGAAAGGAAGATGCACCGGCAGTTCTTCTTCTGACATGGTTTAGAACTCTGCTTCGTGATCCTTGCCTGTCTGTGCTGCCATCCTCGTGGCTCAGTTTCTTATTGTCTCAGACCTGAATGTCACATCACAGCGATCTATGTGCACCCACGGTCATAGCAGCACAATTTGTAATTGCTAAATTGTGGAAGCAATACAAATGTCCATCCACTGAGGATTGGATAAAAAAAATTGTGGTACTTCTATATAATGGAATATTACTCAGCCATAAAGAAAGATAAACTGGAGGCTTTTACAGGTAAATGGTCACAACTAGAGACCATACTCACAAG